TCTCTCTCTCTCTCTCTCTTTCTCTCTCTCTCTCCCTGTCTGTCTCTCAGCCTCTTAACTTCTCTCATCACCCTCTCTCTCTTTCTCTCTCTCTCTCTCCCTGTCTGTCTCTCAGCCTCTTAACTTCTCTCATCATCCTCTCTCTTTCTCTCTATCTCTCCCTCTGTCTGTCTCTCAGCCTCTTAACTTCTCTCATCATCCTCTCTCTTTCTCTCTATCTCTCCCTCTGTCTGTCTCTCAGCCTCTTAACTTCTCTCATCATCCTCTCTCTGTCTCTCTATCTCTCCCTCTGTCTGTCTCTCAGCCTCCTCTCTTCTCTCACCACCCTCTCTCTGTCTGTCTCTCTCTCTCCCTCTGTCTGTCTCTCAGCTTCCTCTCTTCTCTCACCACCCTCTCTCTTTCTCTCTCTCACTCCCTCTGTCTGTCTCTCAGCCTCCTCTCTTCTCCCATCACCCTCTCTCTGTCTCTCTCTGACTCACTCAGAACTCTCTCTGTGTGATTCGTGCGTAGTTGGGGGCGTTGAGTGTGGTTAGCGTAGTTGCCGTAGTGAGTATGGTTAATTGTTATTTGGTATAGTGGTAACAGTTAGTATAGTATAGAAACAGTCTAGTTTGACTGCGCCTAGTGTACGAAACAAACATGCAATACATAATAATGACATACATAATCTATACATGTAGTATACGTGCATATAGATACGCTCTTGCAGGGGTGGAAATTAACTTTTGAACAAGGGAGTCCAACAAACTACATGCCATCAAAAAGAAGGAGTCCGCAGCAAAATGAGGGAGTCCGCAGGCTAAAGTTCAAAATTAAAGATATTCACAATAACGCATGTGCTTATTTGGAAGATTCATGCGGTTGCATATCTGCCAAATTTTCATTGCACTTTTACTGAAAAAATGTGGTAATTCTGCGAGGCCGTGCTCTGGAACGAACTAGTTAGTATAGCATAATTTTCAGGGAGTCTCACAGACTCCTGCATATGTCAAATCAGGGAGTCCGACAGTAAATCAGGGAGTGTTTGACTCTGGACTCCCGTTAATTTTGCACCCAGCTCTTGGTTAGGATCTTACAGCACCTTACAGCAGTCAATCACAGACGATTCGTACAAGGTGCTGTTTGTTAGTAGAGAGTTACCATAGTGAACATAGTTAGTAGTTATTTGTTTTTTTGTTTTTTGTTTTCTTATGATTTGATTAAATTGGTGGTTTTATACACACCCATTAAGCAGACAAGCAGGATTTGATAGTATACACACCTTTAGCTTTCTTAGCATTCTCGCGATTGATGATCTGCTGTCTCTCCTCCTCCTGCACCTTATATGCACCACTGACCCTGGAGAGTAGCTAGAAAGCAAGATGATCGCAGCTAAACGAAGAATCGCATCACACTCACACGTCAATCGACTTTCTTTTTTTAAACTACTTAAAAAAAGACATGTTTACTTCAGAAACAACAATGTTTGCAAGTTCTGAGGGTGATAGTAAACATACTGGTCTACACAAAACATACACAACACTGTATAATCGTGTAAAATTCACGCAAACTGCGACAGCTGTACATTCCATATACGAAAGCGATTAGCACAATTTGACTACAACATGGCAGGGTAAATCCATTCTCTATCCGTATCACCGATACACATACAGAATCTAATACTGCTGGTGCAATGGCACATAAATCTATGCATTACTTGATAATGACGCGGCACGAGACACAGCAGCGGTAGAAACACTAACAATATCAGTGTATCAATATCATATTATCAGAAGTAGATAATAGGGAAGGAGTGTGACTTCAATAAACAAGGGAAATTCGTCATTTACTAGCCTTAGAATACCTACGATTTCCTACGCTCAAATCGTACACAGTACATTCGCCTAGCATCATGCGAAATCGTTTCCTCGTATACACCCGCAATCCGGAGATACAGACTAAAACGTACGACACGGTTTTCCGTTATTCTCCATTCTTGTTCCCAGCAAACCGAATCCGAAACGCCGCCTAAAGA